AGTGTTCGGACGTCATTAGTTGTAAGTAGTGTGTAAACCGTTTTTCATTCATAAACAGCGGGTTTGGCGGTTGCATGTAATCGCTTTTGGGTCTTTGTTTGGAGGAGGGGCTGGTTTATGCATGAAAAGATGTTTACACACGATTCACAACTGATTTCGTTCTAACACTTCCGGAACAAGTGCTTCACTGACGAATTTTGTTCGAACCACAACGCTATTAATGCTTCACCCACGTACTACAAACACAAATAATCGCCAACAGAACCTAAACACTTAACCTTACCTATGCCTACATAGGCATAATATGCTAATATATTATAATATTAATTTCTATTTGAGAGAGTTCCCGTTTTGACTGAACAGCATGTAAAAGTTTGAATGCGTCTGTGGGGTCCACCGCTGAATGCAATAGACTTGAGTCGAGGACGGGTTGAGTTTTTCATTCATAAACGGAGGGATTTCTCGGGTGCATGAGGTCACTTGGCCTTTGAGGACGGGCTGCTCACCCACGTACTTAAAATACAAATAACCGCCAACAGAGCCTAAACACTTAAACTACACCTTATACACAATGTGCGAATATTAATATTGACAATTCCTATTTTGAATGAACAGCATGTTTAAAGTTGATGAATACTACATTAGGCTCGACCGCTGGATGGAGTGAATATAGCTTGAAGACAAGTTACAATTCTTGATTTGATCCCTCGTTTGGGGGCGGGGGGGGGGGGGGACCACCCTTCCCTTGTTTTTCAGAGACGCTCAAACTGCCTTGTGGTGTAAAGCTTGTCTGCAAGCCTATCAGTTCTAAAGTACCTCATCGCGTTACTAGTGATCACATTGCTAGCATAGCATCTTAAACTTCGGCTAAATTCACTAATCTGGATCTACAATCCACTAACCCACCATTGAATCCCTAAACACAATATAAAATTGAATAAAAAAATAATAATTTTCAGTCTCGTATTTAATGTATGCTGAAGACGACTACGGTATTTTGACGTAAAGATCTCGTTAAATCGTTTGCCTTAAGTTGATCTGCATACATGAATACAAGAGATGGAGACGGAAAATGTGTTTCGTCGTGGCCTGCCAGCAAAAGTCATTCTTTTTTTGTGGGAGACTTAATTCACTGGAGTCATTACTACCCGATGTAAATCTATTTTGTACCCCGTCTTGCATAGCTTGCCTCTTGTCTTGGTCATCACTAGTGCACCGCTGCTCTGGTGTCTGCCAATGTGGTTATCTTGGTTATCTTGAGATGCTTTCGGGGCTTTAGTGTCCCCGCGGCCCGGTCCTCAACCAGACCTCCACCCCCAGGAAGCAGCCCGTGACAGCTGACTAACACCCAGGTACCTATTTACTGCTAGGTAACAGGGGCGTTCAGGGTGAAAGAAACTTTTGCCCATTTGTTTCTGCCTCGTGCGGGAATCGAACCCGCGCCACAGAATTAAGAGTCCTGCGCGCTATCCACCCAGGCTACGAAGCCCGAATGTGAATGCAAATTTTAACCCAAGGTTGGTGGGAGGGGAGGGATGATATCACAAACCCTATGGGTTATAAATCTGGTAGCAAAGTATGCCCTTGACACCACCTCCGACGTATGGAGCCTTCCCGGTCCTGACGTGATAGTTGTAGGTGCTGTGTGTGTTTATAATGCTTGCAGAGTCGGGTCACGACAGCCTGGGACTATATTAGTGCCTGAGTAGGCCGAGCTGTGTGGGGCGTCTCCTGGCACCGATGCCTTGCTTCAGTTAGCATTAAATAAGTACCCGCAAGTTACGATTCATTCACTAAAGTATCTGTCGATAACTTCGTAAAATATTGACTTTTCAGCATGTTCATAATAGAGCTTCTGTGCAAGTTGAATAATTTCATAGTAATTATATTTGACTTAATTACTAATTTTCTGAACCCATGCAACTGAGTAGTTACTGTTATTCGCCTCTGGCAAGGCGCTCTGGTGACATCTGTGGTCAGAATGAGGAAGTTTCATCCATAGGCGCCTGACAGCTGGGTGGACAGCGCTTCGGATTAGTAGTCCTGAGGTTCCGGGTTCGATCCCCGGTGGAGGCAGCGACAAATGGGCTAAATGTTTCTTTCACTCTGATGCCCCTGTTACCTAGCAGTAAATAAGTACCCGGGAGTTAGACAGCTGCTTCCTGGGGGTGTATAACAAAAAGGAGACCCTGGTCGAGGACCGAGCTGCGGGGACGCTAAAGCCCCGAAATCATCTCAAGATAACCTCAAGAAGATATGCTTGGGATGGGAAGCTGTTGTCACAGATGTGGCAGGTGTTGCTCCAGACCTATGAATAGGCAGACTTCTGAACATACCAGGACCTGGTATGTGACATAACTAGTACCGGTATGAGACATACCAGGTCCCGGTATGTGACCTGGAACACTCCTCTTGACCCTCTACAGAAAACACTATGAAAATGGTGCCATAAATTTTAAGTCTTCCTTTCTGTTATAGATGTTATACTCTACAAGTGGAGAACGCTTTTAGCGGTTTAACTAATGATTTACAGATAAGCGTTGTAAGGAAGTTGTGGTGAATCATAATGTAGTGAAGTTTGATTACCGCAAGGATTGTCTTCATTATACACTATATTAGTGAAGGACTGTAACTGTGAACGTAATTTACATATTTATATACTTTATTTGATTCTGAAATTTTATAAATTTTTAATTGTAAAGTCTTTCTGCCTCTTAATGAATGTCACGTTGAGTGACTGGAGACTTGGTATGGAAATCTTGCATCCAATTTGAACAATGAAATTGGGATAAAGCCTATTTTTAATACAATTTCGGCTAAATTGGGCATTCTAAATTACTTTATAATCTGATTTATAATATAAATCTAAATATATTATATTCACCTGGGCTTCAGGAGACTCGAACCGCGGACCCTACGTGTGTGAGCGCGTAGCTCTGTCAACCGAGCTATTGAGTAGCCTTAATAAGGAAAGTTTCCAGAAGTTTATTTCCACGGAAGTGCGGATGACTCTTGAAAAATAGTTCAGTAGCATGTTTCAACAATCAGAATTCCTGTGCCAATCACACGATTCTTATACATCTTGTAAATCATAAATCTGATAAAATCTGGTAAATGAAAGTGTAAATCTGATAAAATCTGGTAAATGAAAGTGTAAATCTGATAAAATCTTGTAATTCATAGAGTAAAATGACCTGCTACGAAGAGAATATTAGGTTCAATAAATGTAATTGTCATATTGCCGAGAAGAGCAAAGAAAATCTCGAAATTTAAAACGGTTTAGAGAAAGAGGAAAACGCTCTAGTGTCGGTCATTTCAGAGGTCTGCAGTCCATGGACAGATTCTGATCGGGGGAAAAAGAATAGGGAAAGGGGGGGGGGCGGGGGTTGATAACCCACCCACCCTTAGACAAAGTACAGCCCCACCACACGTCTCTACCTTCCGCGTCCACCCTAAACAGGGCGGCGTGGTCAGGCTGCGAGAATGGTCAAGGGAACTAGGAGAAACCGATTGATTGATAAAGATTAAGTCGCCCAAGAGGTGGCACGGGCATGAATAGCCCGTAAGTGGTGGCCCTTTTGAGCCATTACCAGTATCAAGAGCTGATACTGGAGATCTGTGGAGGCGCGACTGCACCCTGCGTGACGGGAGATGTCTCCCGTGTAGGAGAAACCACCGAGCTAATTCGATAACATGGCACTTTGTCAGGATAAGGATTTGGGATGGGACGATTGGGGGGGGGGGAAAGGGAGGGTGCCCAACCACTTGGACGGTCGGGGATTGAACGCTGGCCTGCATGACGCGAGACCGTCGCTCTATCGTCCAGCCCAAGTGGTTGGACGAGGGAGGGGTGAAGTGTGAGCAGGTTGTGGAGCCGGTGTGTGTGTGTTGGGTAGATTGTCTGGGAGGAAGGTAGTGCCCCGAGGGAGGTCGTAGCCACAGTTCCTGGCCCGGTACCTTCAATACGAAGATGCTATCTTTCCTCCGGCCCTTAGTAAACATCTTTTATCTTTCTGCAGCTTGGGTTCCTTGTCGAGTCGCTGTGTGTAAGAGTACAAGCTGACGAAGGCTTTCTAAATTATTGTGTAAAACAATATGTACAGTTGTTAGCAGTGTTACCAGAGCGTTTTCCGTCTGTATGGCACAGCATCTGAGGACCCCCCACGACACTAACACAGTACCAGGTGGTAGTCTATCTCCCGCGGTTATTTACTGTGCCACAGTAACAGTGAATGGATGATTAGGCTTTATATATGGTTTGTAAATCTTGAACTGTCTTGCATTTTACGACTCTCTCGTCGCTAAATTCTCCTCCGTGTAAACATGGACTGGGTAATAATGGATGTTCTTACTGAATTAACATTATCGTACTCGATGAAACCATGGTATAATTCGGTAATTAATAAAAATACGTCGTCGGGACAGGCAGCCAGTACACATACAGTACATGTTGGCTTGTATCGAGGACCTCCCCCCCCCCCCCTCCCAGGGTCAAATTACTGACCCTTCCCAGGATGCAACCCCACAACAAGCACTCATTCTTAGGCACCTATTTACTGCTAGGTGGACAGGGGCATTAGGTGATAGGAAACGCGCACAGCCATTTATGTCCCGCCCGGAATTCTAGATTGAGTCTAGAACGAACCAGACTGTTCTATCGGGACCCTTGTAAAAAAAATTATTAATGATTCTAGCAGCTCAAACATAAATATTGTAATTTTTTAACTTGTATTGTTCTCTTGATTTGACAGTCTAATCTAAAGCCAGGTTTCTTGTTTTTATTAATCGCCAATGTAGAACATTTTGCCAGCTCCCGACCAACTTTCTTGCGCATTTTAAAATGGTTCTAGACAGTTTTCTTAAAGCCTGAATAAGAACCGTACTTAACATTATTTCCTTGTTTATACTTGGTAGCTTGTACTGTGTGACCGCTCGTCTACCAAGACAACAAAAGAGTATTAAAATATCTATTGCAAGTAATGTTCCCTCTCCCCCCTCAGGTATCTCCACGCTACAGATCTGACCTCGTTGCCGCCACCAGGAACGATACGATGACCCACCAGGTGCTGTGTACGTTGTTGTGGTCCCTGGTGTTGTGTGTGGTGGTGAGGTCGAGCCTGGGTGTGGCCCCGGGTGTAGACCCCTACACCTCGCCACCAACATCTGATAAAGACGTCTTGGCTGAGGGTGAGTGTTAGCGTTTGTTTGACACTTTCAACATTCCACTTCGCAGTTTTCATATTTGTGGGGTGATCACTTTAGTTGTGTATTGCTGTATTAGACGGGGTATCCGGCGGTGCCCGGGTCGTTCTTTCTTCCCTCATCCCTCCTGTTATTTCTACCTTTATCCTTCCTGTTCTCTCCCAGTGGGCAAAACATGTTAATAATGTTCAATCAACGTTTGCCACGTAGGTAACCGCTGAGAATTTGATTAAAAAAAAAACTTGTTAACCAATCTAACATTTCAGACTTCTTAAGTCGTTCGTTGTCGCAATAGACTCCCATCGTAGTTTAAAACGAGCATGGAGAGGTAGACTAAACAGCCCGTCATCCTACATTTTCCTAACGTCAAGAAACTGTCGTACTACCCTATCCTAACCTACCAGAGGATCCAAAACAGAAAACGAAACGGTGCGTAAATTTCGCGAGCCACTACCATTTTCTAGTACAATTTTTGGCGTAGATTATACGTTTACATGCGACGTTCTATTAGGAGGACGGGTTGCTCCCATAGTGTGACTCTCGCCATGGAGTCACAATTCTCCATGAAAAGCTGCTGGGCGCGAACTAGGACCATCTGGCCTCCAACATCGAACACAGACATCCCCTCTCTGATATTTTGCTCCAATGAAAACTTTTGACGCAGAGTTTGTGGGGCTCGGAAAGTACATTTTGAGGCTCTGAATACATCGTATGTGAACTACTAAAGTTTATAAAACGGAGTATTTAGAGTACAGGGAAATATAGATTGTTTTTGGTGATCAGAAATGGAGTTAAATTTTCAGACGTAATGACATTAATATGATTAACATAAGCGCCCCTCTTCCATAATGTGTGTAGAGATAACTGCTCAAATGAAATGTTACTCACAAACTTGCATATGGCCGCCCACGTACTCTGACAGTTCTTTTACGTTAGGTAAGGACAAACCGGCTCGTCCACCGTCCCTAGGGCAGCTTTGCGTTTGTAAATCTTTCAAAAGTTGTGTGGTAAAGGAACTGTGTCTCCCGAGGGGCCACCTTTTGGAGTGGTAGAAGGGACTGAGCGCAGGCTGGTGCCGTCCTGGTCGTGTCTGGGTTGAGGGGAGCGTGAATGACAAGCTGGAGTGTAGAGGCCCCCCGTCGCCTGGCCCCCACCGCATGGCCGCCCCCGCCACCCATCAAAGGCTGGCGGGACGCTCCGTCCAGTGTCGTCTGTGGCAGATCTTGTGATGCTCTCTCTCCTACTGGGTGTTTATGTATAACATTGAGTATATTGTATTAATTGTTTTTAAGTGATATAATGCAAATGGGTGAGAACATAGGCCTACCTAATTAAAGACATGTAGGAAAAGTAAGGATTCTAGAGGGAAGTATAACGGCGTTGGTGCTTAAATTAGTAATGTTAGTCATTATTTACTCGACTAATAAAATAGGATCTTGCTTCCAAATTGTCATAAAATTATATACTTTAACCCCCAAAGAGCGCAAGATAATGGGATTATGGAAGGAGTGAAGACTGCATCGCAACAGTTCTCTAGATTCCCTTCGTCGAAAACACAGTGGATTAACTTGACTAAAACGTCAATCACTGCCCGCCAAACCACCCGGAGCAGATTCTCATTAGTCCCTAAACGCGTCGATACGAATGTGGTTTTACCTCTAATGTTTGCAAGTTTGCTCGTGTTCCTCTTCTCTCCAGTTTTTACCAGACTGGGTTGGCAGTCTCCCTCATCGTTTGGAATATTATCAATTGTGTGTGTCTGTTTAAACTTAATTTGCTATTAAATATAATTTGGTTTATACTTCTGAATGACTTGTTAAACTTGCTATTCACGTGAATGAGTGAGAGGTGGTTTCTCCATCATTCGCATTCTTATTTAGATTTTAGTTTCCTGGGAGTAGGTTGTATGTCGTGGTCATGGGGACATTTTGAAATGTAGTCTCAAAGAGGGAATCAAAGCCGAGCCACAAAAACTATTTGGATAGAATTATACGAAAAAGCAAATAATCTTATTTATTTAAGTTTGGTGGCCTAATAATCTTCTTATTAGGCCACCAAACTTAAACAGGATGGAAGCAAAGCACCTATGGGATGAAATATCTAGAGCATCTAGGTCTAGCAGTATTTGTGTCATGGGTGACTTTAATTTTAATGGAATAAATTGGTTTAACAGAACAGGGAATAATTAAGCAGAAGATTTTCTAGAATTGACAATTGCTTTCTTAGCCAACATCTTAAGAAACTAACGCGGGAAAATAATAATTTAGATTTAGTGTTAACTAACAGGGAAACACAAACTAATGACATCGAAACAGGGAGTGAGCTAGGGAACAGTGAGTTAAGTTAGGGGTGACATGATAAAGGTTTACAAGTGGATGAATGGACATAACAAAGGGAATATTAATAGGATATTAAAAATATGAACACAAGACAGAACACGAAACACTGGGTATAAATTGGATAAGTTTAGATTTAGGAAAGACTGGGGGAAAGACTGGTTTGGTAACAGGGTTGTTGATTTGAGGAACCAACTACCGCGTAACGTGGAGGTAGGGTCCCTCGATTGTTTCAAGCGTGGGTTGGACATGTGTACGAGTGGGATTTGATGGTTATAAATAGGAGCTGCCTCGTATGGGTCAATAGGCCTTCTGCAGTTACCTTTGTTCTTATGTTGTTATCCATAGTTTGGGCCCAGGAGCGGTGGTCGTAGATATGGGACCATCCATAGTCTGGGCCCAGGAGCGCTGGTCGTGGGTATGGGACCATCCATAGTCTGGGCCCAGGAGCGCTGGTCGTGGGTATGGGACCATCCATAGTCTCGGCCCAGGAGCGCTGGTCGTGGGTATGGGACCATCCATAGTCTCGGCCCAGGAGCGCTGGTCGTGGATATGGGACCATCCATAGTCTGGGCCCAGGAGCGCTGGTCGGGGAGCAGCAGCAGAAGCGCTGCTCCAGGGCAATCTAACTTTCACACAGCTTACTTGGACATTCTATGTTCTTTGGTTCCTGCTAGAGTCCAGTGATTTTGGTCATTTTTGTTCCTGCAGGACCGGGTTGATAGCTCTTGGACCCCGTCGACTGTCTAGGGTCCTGACTTCAGACCTAATCTTCTCCACTCTCTTAGTCTCTGTAAATGTTAAACTCATTAACGAGAACCTTCATTCCTCCTGCAACTTTTTTTACTTTTTTTTTTGTTTACTAAAAACTCCTAAATTTTCTCTCCTTTTTACACAACTCGACGACTTCCACGACACTTCGTTAACTTGCAGCACGACTTTCTATTGGTGGTGGTCCTCACTAGACCTTCACTGTAAGTTATGCACGGGGTACTCGCGTGTCTCGATTGTTTCAAGCGCGGGTTGGACATGTGTATGAGTGGGATTGGGTGGTTATAGATAGGTGCTGCCTCGTATGGGCCAATAGGCCTTCTGCAGTTACCTTTGTTCTTATGTCTCAAAAATTACTACGCACTTTCATTTATTATTTAATAAAAGTAAATGATTAGCATGATTTCGCCTTCCCTCCCCCACTTTTTTATATTTAGGTGACACAATCGTCAATTATTTATTCAACACTAGCTGTACCCGGCCACGCGGTGCTGTGGCTCGGCATCGTCTGCGTTACTGAGCCACAGCAACCTTCACCTATCCCCTAATCCTCCCTACTATTTCCCCCTCCCCCCGTCTCCTCATCCTACCAACTATTTCCCACTTCCCCCGTCCTCTCCTCCTCCCAATCATTCCCCACTCCCCCATCTCGTCCACCCCACCAGTCCCCCGTCCCCTTTTCCTCCCCCACCCATCCCCACTCCCGTTTCGTCGTCGTCCTAACCATTCCCCACTCCCCCGTCCCCTCGTCCTCCCCACCAATCTAGATTCCCCCGTCTCCTCGTCACCACCATCCCCCATCCCCTCGGCCTCCCCCCCATTACCCCTTCACTTGTCCTCTCGTCTTCCCCACCATTCCCCACTCCCTCGTCCGATGCATTCCTAAATGATCTGATGTTCCCATCAGAAAATAGGGAACATCAAATGATCCGACGTCCCATCACTGAAATATAAGAAAGTTAAAAAAAAAAAAAAAAGAAATGGAAAAACAAAGAAAAAATACAAAATAAACTATACTCAAAATGAACGGAATGGTAAACAACACGGCTCAATTCCAACCCAATATGACACACAATGATTAAATCAAAACGAAAATAAATAGTTATGAAAATTCCATTTATCAATGAAATCAGACACCCTGAAATATAATCATAACATATTTAGTACAGCGTGTGTTGCTCTTACGTGCAACAGATGATGCTGTTTTTCAAAAAAGCACTTTTTACCTGTCACAGGTGTGTCATCTATACTTGCACTCACGAAATGAACGTTATGGTAAACTACACAGCTCAATTCCAACGCAATGTCACACAATATAATTAAATAAAAAAGAAAATAAATCGAAAGTTAAGAAAATTCAATTTGTCAATGCAATCGGAAACACTGAAATTGAATCATAACATGTTTAGTATGTGTTGCTATTACGTGCAACAGATGGCGCTGTTTAAAAAAGTTTTTACCTGTCACAGGTGAGGCATGTATATAATAGGTGTATAAAAACGCGCGCCTATTTGAATGCAACGTTGCCAAAATTTCAAAGCAATCGGTAAAGAGGTTTCGAAGATTTCCATCTCAAGAAAAAGTTAAAAAAAAAAAGTTTTTCCTTATCACAGACGTGACATCTATATAGTATGTATATAAAAATCCGCTCGGATGCGAATGGAACGTTGTGTGAAAGTTTCAAAGCAATCGGTGAAGAACTTTCAGATATTAGCGATTTTGAACAAACGAACATTTCCATTTTTATTTATATAGATTATCTTGCACTGCACAGTCATAATATAGCAATATTGATGTTTTTTAATTTCAAGAAACCTGTACATATTCGTAATGACATTTATGCCATCTTCATGCTTTGTTCCTTGTACACGAGACGAG